ATAGCGAACAAGGCAAGTATCTTAAATTTAACTATTTCACATTCAAATGTTAGTTTTACTGGCCCTAAACAAGGAATTAGCTCAAAAAATGTCTATATATAGAGCTAATAATTTACATGGCAGACTAAACCAAAATTATATTGATAATTTACACGATCCAGATTTTACTGTGGAGTCCGAATTGCCAAATCAATCACGAAAATTCGCAAAACAAGGACAAGTACGAAAACGGAAAAGTTACAGCAAATCATTACAGGAAAGAAAGAAACTGAAAAGAGAGGCAAAAATTGCACAGCATGACGTGCAAGAAACATGTAAGGAAAATTGTGCAAAAAAATGCACCCAAGCAATTGACATATGAAGACAAAATGCTATAAATAAAGAATTCTAGGAAATGACCCATGAACAACAACGTCAATTTATCTTTACCACGTTAAAAAAAATCGATGAAAAAAGGAAAACTGAAGATGGAGACTCCAGGCGAACTATTAGAATTAACTACTATTTAAAAGCTAATACAGGGAATGATGTAAGAGCTTGCAAAACATTTTTTTGCCAGTTTTGGGCTATCAAGTCCATAACGGTAGAATAGTTAGAGATGTTCTGAATCAAACTGATTCAAAATGTATGTTTGTCCAATCATGCAAGACAGGGCATCCATCTCAGAGAACACGTAATTTGTCATATTAATTCTTTTAATCCAATTATATGGCATTATAGAAGGAAACACAAATTATTAAAATTGAAATATTTACAAACTGACCACACTTTCATATCCGCTGACTCTTTCCAAGTGGAAAAGTCTTTAAAACAAACAGGAAAACTATTAGATTTCGAGGATTTTAAAATGTGTGTCAAAAAATCAAATAGTTCAATGGTAGAGATGATTGAAATGAGCCTTAATGATTTTCATCATTTAATTGACTATTCTGCAAGATTCAAAATGAACAAAATTAAACCTAAACCTTATTTAGCAAATTTTGTTGAGGTTCAATTTAAAAGTGGCTCTAAAAACCTTTTTTATAAAACCAAATTTAGTGGACCATTGATTGAACTCAACTTTCTATTGGCCAAACAATATAAAAATGGCGAAAAATGAATGAAGCCAGATTGCTGCAAAAATTACGAAACATTGTTCCGGCAAATCGAGTATCTTTTTGGCAAGATCTGCCAGTGAACGACGGAAAAGATATTTAAAGTTACTAGAATTAGATAATGTAATATTTTTAGTTAATATATGTTTTTCTTACAAAGTTTGTGTTGTTTGATTTTATGTTATTTGCTAAACTATGAGTACTATACTGCAAAATTACTTAGTATGTCTATACTTTAATAGTATGAGAATACTAAAACAAAAGTCAATTTTTTTATCAAATCCCGAAATTTACAACCTTAGGATTTCTTGTGTAAGTTTATTAACGTGAAGTCCACATTGAGATCTTGAAAAAGAACAGTTTTGCAAATAAGCGAAGATGGCATGTCATAATTTACAAATTGCTTAATATCTCGAAACTTCGTTTTTGCACATACGACTTCCTGTCTCAGCAGGGCAGTATAGCTGTCTTTCTTGCTCCAGTGTGGTGAGATGGCGGCGCCCTATGCTCGACTCATATAAAGGATCGTGTTCTGCATAAAGCGCTGGGCAATTGGAGTGAACAGCCAACAGTTGGAAAAACGACAAACCAGACCAGCCAGTAGCAAAAATGGCCTTTTATCCATCAGATAAAAGTTGCCACTCGACGTTACCTGGTCGTTTGTTGTCGACTTCTGGCCGATCTTGGATTGGACGCCACTTAATTGGGTGCAGCAGCCCATGGAGTCGATAATAACATCAAAAATGAGCTGCCCTAATGGAGCAATACGTTCTGCCGGAAATAATTCCGGGGCTGCAGTCGGTCAAGTGGCCTGCTACACTGACCTGCCGATGACAGCCAGTGTAACGTTGCTATTTATGGGGCTTCTGGTGGCGAAATGGCCCGCCCGAACGATTGGGGCCCGTGTTCAGTTCGATTCCGATCTCCATGGTACAGATTGCAATTTGCAATTTTTCCTTGTTGCCATGCGGACAGAAGGAAGACTTTGCTCGCGACTTAGAAACACACTTTTTGACAAAATCTCCAACAGGGTGTTTGCATTGTATCAAAAATTCCTGCCAACTGAACATTAATCTATGGCAATATATATAAATACATATTTGAAAGATTAAATAAGTTTATACTATCTATCTATTGCTATTTTGTTAAATATTTGATAAACAAATTCAGCTGAAATTCAAATTAATCATGAATCTCTAAAGCGCAATTCTATTGATTGTGACGTCTCTAGTCATATAAATGGCGGATTGTTTACGTTCTGTGCATAGTGTTTAGTTGTGTGGTTGTGTTTCATTGATTATTTTGTGGCTTTAAATAATTCATAGTTTGTGTTAAGCTAAAAAATGGCTTCAGAAGGATTCCTTAATGTCAACAAACAATTTACCATGGGTACATATTTTTATGGTTACCGAATTTTTAAAAAACGACGAACGCTTTAATTCAGCCGAATTTAAGGGTGTCAAAGCAGCAGCGTAAGCAAAAATCCGTAAATTCATTATTAGCTACTCTCTCCTTAATATACTAATCTGTCTGCATTGGTTTAAATTAGGTAAATAATATAGAGAATTTCACTTATTCAACTTAACCTAACCTATACACATGGCTGCCATAAAAGTAAAATGAACTCTTAAATTTGTATTTTGGGCATCAAGAGAAGAATATGGTGATATCGGACATGTGGAATTAAAACGCGAGGATTCTTTGTGCGTACAATCGACGGCATATTCTGTCCGCCTCATCATTAGCTTTTTGTTGGTACTTTTATTAAAATGATCCTCACAGCAAAGAAACATTGATTTTGATTTAGAAACATCATGTCTAGTTGGGGTTCATAATCATAGGGAACAGTTAGAAAGAGTTGGTTTGGAGCCCTTATTGAGGTATTCTTGCATCCTGGCACAAAACACCACTTACTTTGTGATCCATACATGTCACTATTTTCCATTGTGCAAGATAATAATAATAATCAATAAAATAATGATAATCACAATAACTTAAATAATAAAACAAAGCT